GCCCCCCCCAGTAATGCACCTCAGCGCAGCTGCCGCTGTGCTTAGGCTGAGGGGGGGCAGCCCCCAGGCTTTCTCCCGAAGGGCCCAAGGAGGGCTGAGAGCAGGAGAAGTAGGCGTTTCAAGGTAAAACAAATCCTCGGGGGCCCTAAATATACGCTGGTAGCAACAGAGCTAGGTAACTTAAAAAAACAACAAACACCACCCCCGCATCACAGGAGCACTGATTACTGCAGGGTCTTTGTCTTGGGCTCTCGGCAGAGTTACAGAGGCAGCAGGGTCAAGGCAAGCCCGTGGGATCTTGGCCAGGTCCTGGGCCAGGAAGCAGCAGACAGATCCAGGGAAGTAATACGGGAATAAAACTGAAACAAGCCATGGGTTATTAGAAACACGACATTTTTTGAGAAGGATGTTTGATTTCATAACCAGCTGTAATAGCTTCTTTCACAGCTACTGTAAAAAGCCCATAGTATGGCGATAATTAAATTTGGGGCAACAGAAGGGGAGCTGCATTTAATACTTAACATTGGTTCAATCAAAAGCCCCAAAAATTTTCAAGGGAGTTGTAGCCTACCTACGCTAGTTCGAAACTATGTCAGTACACAATAGGTCACATTTTTCAAATGGAAGCTATTTGCTTTTATCCTCTACTAAAGGAAAACATTTTTAATGGTCTTGATAAAGAGACAGTCCTGAACCAGATCCTAACAGTAGGCTACTAAGTGAGACTCAACTTAGGCTGTTATTTTCTTACACGTCACATTGAAAGTCCGACTCAAGTTTAAAATACATTCTTCTGAACCAAAAATCTGTTTTGAATTAAGACTGAACATTATATTTTTATAAAATTTAATTTTCAAGTAAGGCATAATTTCACTTAATCTAGTTAGTGCCTAAGATGTTAATATTTTCCTGATCAACTGTTTCCTGATAGCTTCAGGATAGTTTCAATTTATTGATAGTTTTAAGGAGTCCATTTTCTCTTCAGAGCACTCAGTATTTACACTTTTTTTGGCCAGGAAAGTTAAGTTTCCCTGAACTGAGCTGAGGATAAGTGTTCTCCAAAATATTTGAAGGACTGCTTTTGAAATAAGTTACTTTCTAGACCTCCAAGCTGGCATATTCTTACTATAGCTAGGTCATTAATAGATACCTTTCATTATTTCAGTTGTTTGAGTACAATCTAACAAACATTTGCTTTAAAAGTCACTGTCAATCATCAGTGTTTCAATATTAACATAAGTGGTTGCTCTGTATAACCATACATAACTATTCACATACTTTTGATTCTCTATTCAGATCATGGATGTTAACACCATTAAAGGACTAGCTGCACCTTTACCACTTTATCTCATGTTTTGGTTCTTGGCATTATTTTTACATTGTTCAAAAGTAATTTGAGAAGCCCCAAAGCTTATGCACATCTGGTTTACTCTCCTGTTACACTAATTGAGGCAGTCTTAACTTCCTCCGATGACCCAATTGGGGCCCTTTATCTTTAGCAATTCTTTACTGAGCAGCTGCTACACCTCTCTTCTAGGACCCTTTCTAATCATCTATGTATTCCCTCCTTCACTTACAGACTGTTTCTCATCCTGGTTCAAACAATGAGTGTGTACATACTTTTTTTTTTTTTTTTTTAAAAGTTCTAAGTTTTAAACTTCAAAGATGCAGACTGAGGCAAAGCTACTGAAACTAGTTGTTTTTCACGCTGTCCTTTAGCCGTCAAGCCTCAGGTGAATAAGGGTTAGTATAAGCTCTTCACCTACCATTTTGAGCACATTGAGTTAAAAACAAAACAAAACCAAAGAACAGGTGGGAAAATTCAAGCTCACCAAGCCAGCAACTACTGTCTGCAGCTGATACAATTCCTCTGCTGCAACACTACGGATGGCTGAAGCACCCCTAGTCAAAATATGTACGCCCAGTGTAGGAAGACTGCAGGGAGACAGGACAAGATCAGAAGAAACCTGCAGTGAGGAAAGGCTGTTCCTGGTTTAGCGACTACATTTTGCCTAGACTTGTGGTTAGAGGTTAAGGTCCTTTTGAACCACCATTACTAAAAGCATTACAAGTCACTAACAAAGATGGCAAACAACCTAGTACAACTTTTCACCTTCTGTTTGAACAAGATTCTAATTCTGTTGAAGCATCTAGTTACAGGGATTTAAACTAATACCAACCCCATTAAAGAAACCTGAATTGAACTTTGTTTGCAGTTGACTTCCCGCTACCGTGTTTCTCAAGGGTCTCTCCAATGTGTACAGGAAACAGAATGACAACTGGATAAATTGTGCTTGGAAGCCAGTCCCTGGTATTTGCCTTCTTGAGCATCCTGCGGCTCTATCATAGTACAGCCATGATGCATGATCAAACTACACCACCACTCCATCACATCAGGTATTTCTGGTCGCCTAAGGGGCACAGCTTCATAAAGTCAGACTAAGCAGCAGGCTCTACCAACTGTTGAACAGCTCTGCTTAACAAAGGAGAGGGGAAAACCAAACAAATCACGCACATCATCATATTAGTCGCATCACTTCCAAAGAAAAAAAAAATAAAAATCAAACCCTTTATTTCCTTTTACAAAAATACATATTTGCAGTCATGTGATAGTTATCATAGTTGATAGCAGTTTACATGGTTCCAAGAAACTACACAGTGCTCCAGGTTAAATATTTTAAGATAATTTAGTATAAGAATGTCCACTTACTAATTTCTGGATTAGAAATGCTATTCATCAGGGTGTGCAAAAAATATCTGCAAGTTAGAAATTAATGCTGAAGTGGTGTAGTTTGAGTAACATAATAGAGACATTAACCAATAGAGGCATACGAACCATAACAGTATTAAAATACGTATTATCATAAAAATACCACTGTGACACTTTATATCTAAATAAGACATTTTTAGAAAGATGGTATGAAGTATTTACCATACAAAAGCATATTCTTGTAGCAGGATTATGTTGTAAGTTTTTAAAAATTCTATCCAAGCACTTAAAAGCAGATTTTTTTTATTTTATAACTGTGAACCACTTGTCATATAAAAGTGTATGCTGTATGTACACTATAGCATTAAGTTTACTTGAAACTGGTCAAAGTACAACACTGCATGTGGAGCAGCTGAGTTCTTAATATACCACTGAAACTTGTTCAAGAAGATAAACATCACATTCTTGTTGCTTAATATGCAAGAGGAAATTACTCGTTATGCATGTCTGCTCCATGCATATACTGAATAATTTCATGCTACAATCTTTTCTTGCCACAGTGCGACCTTTCCATATGTTTTTTTCAGCTGAAGTAAACATCTTCTCCCTCCAGCCCCATTACCTCTTCAAACATCCTACTGGTATAAGTAAAAAGAAAAAAAAAAAAAAAAAGGAAAAATATAAAAAATTTATAACAGGAGCTCACTGCTATGATCTCCAACTGAAACAGATTGTGTATGAGCTAACTCTACTGAAATCACCGATTTAAAAAGCTGTATTAGAACACCACCGTGTTTATTTCCTGTGATGAATACTGCTTGCTTACTTCTACGCTAGTAATCCACTTTAAATCCTGAATGTCAGCAGTTTAAAAACACCAATTAGTATACAATTATTTTATATTTAAGGCATGTGAGTAAGAGCACCCTAATGAACTGACATTGAATGGAAGAGACTTCTCTTCAGGAAGTTTTTGTCAGCTGCCTTCTCTTCTTTAAAGATGCTAAATTAATATGGTTTTGGAAAGACGGTGAGAAGGAGAAAGGAAGAAAGTTAAGAACCAATCTGATTATTTCAGCTCTCCCTGAAACAGCTTTGAAAGCAATGGTTTACCAGTAAAATACCTCAACTATAATGTATTCTGACCAAGTCACATAATGTGCCAGTTGGGTTTATCACTAGATGAAAACAAAAATTAAAAAAGCAATCAGATACTACATCAACAGGACAGTACAGGATCAATATTGCTTACCCCTGAGTTAACAGGATTGGGTGTAGCAGCACCAATTAGAAAACATACTGCAATGCCAGCACTGCACTGTGGTCCTATACTGTGGTATAGTTCCATAGGCCCACAGATTTTTCTTTAAGAGCACTTATTTCAAACATTATTAGACACAGGAATTCCTTTAGTTGCATTGGTATTTAAGTAGAAAAAACAGTGAAAATAGTATAGTGGGCTATACTATTAGTACAGTCCATTTGTAGTGTTAACGTACTATTTAGAGCTGTGTTCCAAAGTTGGTATGCCACTGGCTTCTGTGAAACTACATTTGCCTTTTGTTTTCTGTACAAAGAAAAGTCCAGTAGAAATCACGTGCCCGTTTTGAGCAAGATGTCCTGTAAGTCATCTGGGAGTGCTAGTATAATATCATTGATGTGTGTCTGCAGCTTTTTCAGTGTGTCAGTTTTCACAGGAAGCTGTTCTCTGTCAGCCTGCAACTGCAAAGGCAAAATAAAACACGATTTCTAGTAAAAATGCAAGTTTACCTTAAGGCACACCAAAGTGACATATTAGAAAACCTGGAAAATTAATTCCTCATTTGCAGACAGAGTAGGAATTTGGGCAACAGCAGATTTCCTCAAGAGCCACACAACAGCATGAGCTAACAGGGGTTTGAATTTTTGGTAATCACAAGGGAGTCTGGTTTTCTGTTTCTTCACAAAGTTGCAATTAGTTTTTAAATAAAAAAAAAAAAAAAAAAAAAAGATCAATGCAATGCTTCCAGCGTAGCTGGACAATGTTGGGAAGCTAGCTAGCTCTCTTCAGTCATGGCTGAAATGACCCTGAATGACTGATTCCTTGAGCTACCTAGATCTTAAAGAACATTTTCATTTAAGTATCTCTAAACACAGATATATAGTACTTTTATCTAGTTAAGTCAGGCAAATTTGAGCCATGTGCAATTCAGTTACTTACCAGTTTATTCTTTAACTTCAAGACAAGATCCACTGTTTCTACTTCAGTATGCTTCTGACTCCAGAAAACCAGGTTCTAAAAGAATAAAAATTAAGCACTGAAATATTTATGGAACCATCTATAATTTTCAAAAGTAGTATTAATTTACACCTACTGTTCAGCATGGGTCTTCTCCTTTTCCTTATTCTCATGCCATTTACTAAACTTATTTTACTAATGTCCTGTCTCTACTGTGAACTGCAAAATCTGCTTTATTTGCATGTTTGCCCAGGACTTAGCAAGACAGGAGACTAGGACACAAACACAATACAAACAAATAATAATAAAAAAATCATGCCAAACAGGCTTAGTTTCAAAAATAGCATCTACAATGCAAAATGGCAGTGAATGTTTACCAAATCAGATCTACCAGCACAAGGAAATGTTAAAATAGTGCCAGGAAGCACTTCTTGTTTCTAGGGCACTAAAGGAGATCACATAGTCAATAACTAGTAAAATAGATTCATTAGGTGAATTTTCTTATGAAAGTTCCGTTCCCCTACTCCTTTACTATTCACCTATTAAAGACATTTCCTCGTGTACAGAAAGATGTTAACACTTGGATCAAAAGAAAAAGCTAATAAGGAGCAGAGTCAGTAACAAATTTGTGACACATTCCCTTTCCTTTGCAGTAAGTTGATATCAAACATAGTTGGATAGATTCTAGGCGATATAATTGACCTAGCTATTGCCCTGCAAATTATTTGGGCTGCTCTATTTGAACAATATATTTGGGTTGCTACAATGTACTGTTTGGGAATTGACAAGGCAAGAGTTAAAAAACAATGGCTTTTCTAAAATAACCAGCACAATTTTTTGGTTTGTTTTAAAGCTGTGGTGTTGACTTATTTTTTTGTTCTTCCAGTTCCCTCTTTAGCTGTGCAATCTCTTCTCCTCTTGTAAAACCTTTCTTTATCAGTGGTTCTGACTCAAATTATACTGATAACCACTTCAGCTTCTTCAGTAAAGAATGGATCTTACAACAGAAGATCTTTAGTGGCTTTTTGTTATAGATCAATAAAGAGATTTCACTTCTCCATTTCCAGTGACTATGGATCAGTTGTAGGCTTATTTACTATCCATAGCTAATTAGTTGTCAATTTTCTATGGCACTCACTGAATTTATCCCTTCAAAGCTACAAACTATATCACAACTAAAAATGTGTTGGAATGCCAAGGAGAGAAGCTGAATGAAGTAACATCATCAAATAAGAGAAAAAAAACCCCTTTCTTGGGGGGGCAAGAGGGATTATATTCAATTTCAAAACACACAACAAACCAAAAAAGGATGAAAGATAACTTTTTTTATGACTGCCATCACTTGTAAAATGTAACTGTTTCATATTGTTCTCTTTTGCTATGTTAGTTCTAGCTTGTACTTGATTCACAAACTCATGTTTTGCTAGATCAGACTTGACAAAATTGTTGACATTCAACCAATGAAAACAGCAGGAGAAAACTGACTTGTAGGAGAATATATTTTTATTACAAGATAATAAATATCACAAGCACACATTTTTCTAACCTCATTACACAGTGCTTCTAAATGAAGGGCCTCCAACTTCTGTGTCATTTCTTTCTGCCGGCTCCTAAACCAACCATCAAAGTTGGGCGATTTCAAAAAATGCCTGGTAAAACACCGAAGCAAAATACATTTTATATTTTAATTACAATTTTGATAACACAGTTTTCTACATAATCAAATGTAAAACAATTATGTTTGAGGTTGAAGAAGATATTAGGACCCTTTCTCTGTTTACTTTCAAAAAAATGTAATATTCTGAAGTGGAGTATAACAGGTGCTTCTGTTAGTAAGACAAGGATTGAGAAAACAATGTAAAGAAAAGGGGTCTGGAAGACAATAAAGATTAGGAATTTTGTCTGGAAAAAAAGCAAGGCTCAGTTTGAAATACCCTCATTCTTATTTTTGTGTTTGGTTGGAAGGAGGAATTAAGTTAGAAACAAATAAAACCACAAATACTACTGGTATAGACAGACCTGCAGTGTTAGTAGCATTTTATAGCATCTTATGAAAACCATTAACAGGTTACAGAGAAACAGACTTAAGCGAGTAACGTACGCTAAGCACTGTCAATTCCTACTAAAGCATATATTCTAAAAGTAAGTTACTCAAATCAATATTGATAATAAGTTTGCTCAGGAAAAGAGCATTTGTATTACTGATTTGTCTTCATTTATATAATATAATTTTTTTATGCTGATTAAAGAAATGACCTGTAAAGTCCTATCCAGTCTCCTTTTAAGCCTGATGTGAGCTGCGGTCCTGCTTTTTCCAATGTCTTCATGAAGTCATCTTGGCTGAACTGCCTCAGCTGTGGTGGACTCTATGGAAAGAAAAAAAAAAAAAATCATTAGCATACCATAACTGTTTTCTCTAATCACCAGTTTCCAGCTCATTCAAATTGTATTCCCTTACCTTCCATGGTGATATGCATTTTTGCAAAGGCATTAGGCTTGCCACATAACGTTCCTAGGGAAAGGAAAAAGGAAGGTTGTTTGCATAACCAGTATTAAAGATACACAGTCCACGTGTATGTTTGCTTATCACTTGTGATCACAGCATTTTCTCTTCTAAGTATTGGTACAGGGTGGGGTTATACATATTTACCACATGAGAGCATAAGAAGGAGCTTATCTAATACCATTTGTGTTTCCCAACTACAGAACTTTATGTCAGTAAGACTCAAGAAGGACATGAGGGAAAGGAGGGCGGGAAGCAAACGTATACACAGAATATATATTTCGTGAACTTAGCCACTAGTAAATAATTTCTCTTTTCTTTGGTGACAGTCCACAGGTACCTTCATATTATGGGCGATTCCAAACAGTAATCCCACTTTGTATCAAGTATTTGGAAATGATTTTCAGAGTCCCTCATACAAACATTAAATATAGCAAATATGAGCAAGACCACTGCTGAAGCTCAAGGTCTGATGGCAGGAGGCAGCTCCATCTTGCCAGCTCACACAAGCACATCAATATAAGCTGCTATAAATTTTGAAAGTGTTTGCACGTAAATCACCATACATTTTGATCTGCAAACATAATCAGCTTTGATAACATTATGAAAGTCTAGTTCTATCTTTTGAAAAAACAAAGGACCTCCCATATACTTTTCTGGTGGCAGAGAATGTAAAGGGTGATCTTGAGCTATAAATTTAAGATTTAGGACAGAACACATATTAAGTTTCTCACTTGAAGTGAAAGTTTGAGCAAGATGGGGGGAATACCAGGGCAAGGTTTTAGATTCACCCTACATGGTTCAAAAGAACAGGAGAGAACAACAACATTTTAAGGAAAAACCCCTCTAATCATTGACAAGGACAAACAAGTGTCTACGGATGTCCCAGTTCTCGCAGGCAGAAATTAGACCTGATCATGCATGCCCTAAAATGATGAGAAGTTCAGGTCATCCACAAGAAGTGTTCAGAGAGCTCAGAACAGGACAGCTGCTAATGTAAACATCCAATGCCTGAGATATCACTTCCCAATTTTAACCACTTGTCCAGAGAAATTACTTAAGTTCACACAGAACTTCTTGTGTTGGTAAAGTCCATCATTACTCCGACCTCATACCTCCAAATCCTAGGTAAGAGCATATTAGAACATATTCATCATTATCTTAATGCACAAATTAGAAAACAGATGACAGATTCCCATTTCAGTGCAAGCCAAAGCCTACAAATCTCCATGGATTCAGCAACCTAAACATGATATTCATCAGCATAAAGGTATGTCAGGAGTCTCTAAACACTACAGCAGGATTTCAGTTTACAGGACAGGGAATTTTTTTACTATTACTTTAGATACAAATTCCTATTTTAAAATCTGTTTCAGTAAATTGAGAGCTCTGTCCAGAAGAGAAAAATACATATATATATGTATAAACTCTGCTGACTGGTTAGAAATGAGACAAAATTTGCCCCCTAACTTTGGCTTAGAGATCTGAGCAGGTGAAGTACCATGTTTGGAGAGCAAAACACCAGATATCTGCCATTTCCAGAATATCATGATGCTGTACAATAAAATATCCTGATCCACTGAAAAACTATTCTCTGTGTGACGTGGTGTAAAACTGTATCAGGTTTATGGCCAAGCAGAGAAGGACTGAGAAATGGCAGATAATCATGAAAACGTCTTATACTCTAAATCTGTGAAAAGAACTGGGAAAGAGCAGTACTGTGCATGAGCCTTGCAGTCACCAGTGATCTAGAAAGCTGTATTTACTGCCTCTGAGGAAGACAAAGCATGAGGATAATGATCAAAACCTTCTCTAGAATCAGGGGACATAATGTGTTGAATTTGTCCAAAAGCTTATGCCCATACTTGTAAAACAAGGTTTGATATTTAGCTATATATTCAAATTGGCCCTGTTCTGAGTAGTAGGGTTGGAATAGATGTCCCAGTTAACCTACATTCATCTTGATTTTATGATCTAGTGAAGAGCTCTTTTTTCCTCAAGGGTATTTAAGTGTTTGAAATAGCCATCCGTACTAAATTTCATTTGCCCATTTTCTTCTAAAACAGCAGTAATAATGAGAAAAACTGAGACCAGCCAAGGGAAAGCAAATTCTGTAGCCCCTGCTACACCATGTTGGCCATCAACAGTTCCCGACAGGAAATGAGACAGAGATAAAGCTGAGTTTCATAATAATCCTTTTGCCAGTTCTAGATGCTCTGACTCTAAGTGGAGACATTGCCTTTTCATCAAAAGTTTCTTGTAACTTTTGTTTATGCTTGATGTAGGTGCAAGATTTGAAAATCCTTCAAATACTGCAGCAATCTGAGGAAATAGCTGCCTTGAGGCCATAGAACAACTGCCCAAAGAGGTCTGACTGCTAAACTTTGTCTACTGCAGGTAATCCAATGGCAAAACAACTCCAAAATCAATGAACAAAAAAAGAAAGCCAAAACAAAACCAAACTGTCTACCTTTGGAGACAGACATTGTTCTTTGAAAGTCAGATAGAACATAGGTAAAAATGGAGTCTGTGAAGAAGTAAGAGAAGTAAATTAATTACATAGAGGACAAGTAATGAAATTATCTGGACAAAGCAGATGAAAGGAACCAAGATGTGCTAGTTACAGTTCAAGAACTCACTAATGGAATAATGAAACTTTCTGTCAATTCCAAAAAATACCGCCGAAGAATCACGCTCTGTGCTTCTGTAGGACGTTTCTGTTGTACACCCTTAAAAAAAGAAATAAAATATCACAATCAGTCTGTTACCCCAAAATATGTAAGTAGTTGTGGGGTTTTTTAAAGAATATTTATTCCAGTGTTTCTGTATTCATTTGTCATAAGCTTACACACAGCACCCCCTACCCTGAACCAGGAAAGGAAAGCAATAGCGTCAAGTCCTTTTGTGCAGATATTCATCCCTTCAATTGCTGATTTTTTGTTTTCATGTAAAGAAATTCAAGGAAAGAAAACTTTCTATGAACAAACTTGCACAAATAAGTTTGGAAGCTCTGATTCTTACACACCTCATGCATGAGATTTCTAGACCAAAGAGACTAGAGGGGGATGTCAGAGGGTAGAAAACCCAAAACAGATGAACTGATCAATCACTTCAATTGTCTGAATTATTAAGCTAACTTCTTGAGTTCTACCATTTACGTTGTTATAGAAACTGCTAACAAGGCAGCAGTCCTTCTACAGTGAGGGTGTATACCTATCTATTCAATTATAAATTGGGGAAAAGGAATCAGAATCCAGTTTTGTTTCAGTTATGTAGCCAGAGCTCAGCCTTAAATGAAAACAGCTTACAGCAGTACCTAAACCAATTTCCATTAAGAAGAGACTTGCAGGATTACCTTTTGTAACTGTTTAACAATTTCTTCATCTTTGTTCAAGTATGGCTTGTAAGAGGTATAAACACCTAAAGAAAAAAAGCAGCATAGAGCCAAAGGAAAAATTGGGTATGCTTTTTAAAATGAAAATACTGATAATTTAACTCTGAAGCAAGTTATTACCAGGTTTGGAGTCCAAGGTTTTTAGGTTCTTCAGTTTTTTCACTTTCACCTGCTTTGGAACTTCACCTGCCAAAACATTTAAAGCCACCTTACTTGAAATCTCCATCCCTATTACTAGATACTACAGTTAACGTGCTATATGTTGCACTGATTTTATAAACAGATACTTTCATTTAGAACACTACCTAATATTGTAAGAAGCACTAGAAACACTGACAAGCATCCAAGTATATATCCAGAAACATCCAGTAAACATATGAATAACAGCAAACAGGCTTTTCACTTTATATAAGAGTTCCCTTTTGAAAAGAAAGCAACCAAACCACCACAAAACCAAATCAAAAACCCAGAAGGACAACCTTCTCCATCAAAGCAGCCAAAGAAAATACTGACTATATAACAGTGAATTACTCTAATTTCAAGTTTTATTCCATCTTCTTTTGTTCCCCTTAGGATAAATGCTTTCAGGAACAAATCTTTAGTACCTTAGCCAAAATAAAAATTGTATATAAGAAATTAGAACAATAGCCATGGATTAAGTGTTGTAAGAAAAAATTAATTTAAGTCTCCTTTCATGGGCCAAACTAAGTTCTTTTATTTTGTTTTTCAAATATATCCTTCTCCAGCTAGAAGACCCTAAACCTTGCTAACAGTCTTGCAGCCTCAGCAGAACCTTCCTCTTAGATCTAGTTGGATGCTCGACTTCAGAAAAGATAATAGTATAAGTTGCTATTGAACCTGCAGAGTGGGGAGAAAAGGAAAATAAAAAACCTCCAAACAACAAAGAAAAAAAAAAATCACAAGCCCTCTCTTTGTCCCGTAAGAAGTAAGATTTAAATTTTTAAAGGCACGTAAACCAGATTAACCTCCTGACTAAACATTTTGCATAGCTGCACCAAAACTTTAGAATTTCATACTTGAAACTGTATATCAAGTTTGAAGGCAACCTGTGTATATGGCTTTGCAGAGATTTAACAGTTTAAGTGAGATTCTATTTACCAAATCTTAACTACACAGCAGCTAGCTAACTCCTCCCCACACAACCCCGAACCCGCACAGGTATCCTGAAGCATGGACAGGCATGATATTTTGAAGTAAAGCAAAACCTTGCCTAATTGTATTGAACACCGTACGTAATCTTTAATTAATTTAGTGTGTTCAGAAACTGAATGTAACTTAATTCTACAAAAATTAATTTCATGGTGTATTATCCTAACTAGTTATTTATGCATTCCCACTTTCAGAACAGAACAGTGAACTTGCCACAGCAAACAGCTGCATTCAGGAATTTCACATAATAATTAGAGTACTGCAGTATTTTATTACAGGCTAGCAATTGACAAATTATCCAAATATTACATAAAATCCTACTCAATCATGTAAGGAAGTCATCCAACTTGAACAATTAATAGTTACTGGAATATTGCCAGATTAGAAATATATTATCAAAATACTGTCAACAAACAACTTTTTATATTACTGTAACATTCAAACTTAGCTTTCATGTGGTTTTTACTTTCTGTGCAGTGCAGATTTATTACATTCTATTCATCCTAAAATTAACATCAGTAATAAATGATGTTTGTCATTTTAATACCTTATTGGTAGAGATACAGAAAATGCTAAAACATTACTCCTACTGAGTATTACCACCTTTTAATATACTAGATTTGGCAATACAAGATATACAGTACTCAAGAGGCTAATTTCACTTGACAGATTTACATCCATGAGGATTTGGTTAGCATTAAACTAAATTAATTGAACTACATTACATGTATTTATAAATAAATAAGCACGCAGTTAGATCTTGTCACGCAGGATAGAAGAAGATAGTTGTACTTTACCTGGAAGTTTAATATCTCCAATTCGGATAATGTGAGGCCAGTGCTGAAGTGTTTTAGCAAAAAAAGGATTCGTCACCCCTAAAATGACAGATGGTCTAGAAAAATAATGACATTTTTAAAATATGACAGTAAGAACTTCTGTCTTTATGAATGTAAAAAGTCAACTTTAATTCTTTATTTGAAATTATTTTCCTTTTGTATTCAAGAGTTACATTTTAAGTTGCATGTAAGAGCACAATCTGTTTATCAAAGTTTTTAATTTTAGAAGCTAGCAAGACAGATGCATCTGTCCAAACAGTAGTGGAGAATAAAAGTTACATCTTCTGCTTAGACTTAGTGGCTAAATTCTGCCCATTTACAGTTATGAGAACAGGGTATTATCTGATTTATTATCTGATTTGTTTTTTTAAATGAGCAGGAATCTGACCCATATTTGAAAGACAAATTCCTGCTTTTCAAGATTTGAGTATAACAAACCCTCAGTACTTGAATGTGCATGTCAACGTGATTGCTGTTTGTATGACACTTCTCAGCAGAGCTGCTGCTCAGATTACATGATTAAGAAAGAGAGACTCAGTATCCTACTTCCTTTCCAACATTTCAGCATTCTTTGTTAAAAAGTAGTTATCAAGTGATGAAGTACAAGCGCATTAGCAGCACTGTGCCCAAGCTTGCAACCTGTGAGATTTTTTTTGTCTACTCTGTGCTTAGAATCTGGCTTTGAGGATTCATAGGGGCACTGAGAAAACAAGAGGCAATAAGAGGACAGGGCTGCAAAATTTGGGATTTATAGCACTGATATCATGAAATATCAATGTATTTTTCAGTACAGTGGCTGCCATCCATTTTACAGGCAACTGTTAGCTAAGGAGAGACTGTAAGTGCAATCCTCATTGGAACTGCCATATTAAAAATAGGTTATCACTTCTTCAGATTGGTTTTAAAAATTCCAAATTTTAACACTTGCTGTACACCATCCTTAAGTTTCCTGTCTCTCAATACAAGGTGGGGAGAAAACCACAAGTAATCTTTCTTTAAATTATTACTCAATTCTTCCAGCTATATCATGATGGCAACTGGGCATCAATTTCTATGTTAACCTACAAACATTTCTGACTTTCATTCCTCCCTTCACTTTCTAATTATAACTAGATTTATATATATATATAAAAACTCATTAGGTATTCACAGATAGGACAAAAATCTGATCACACAGCTCTGTAGCTTAGTATAATGTCTGGGTTATGGAAACCGCAATTTTCATCTCTCCATTCCATCTTTGAATGAGAGCACAAAATTGTATCAGTTTCTCAGAAGTCTTTTCTTGCTTGTCACTGACTCAACCTTCCCCAGAAAAATTACTTCTTCCAAGTCCTACTGCTGTTCAAGTATGTTTGTCTGACAGCATTTTATTCCAGATATTATATATTTTTCCCTACTCATTTGAATTCAGTTTTGTTATTTTTTGCTGCTACTATAATCCTGTTAAACTAATTTGCATTATTGATTTAAATTAATTGGGATTTGCAAATGTTGTTCATGATTTTTCAGTGTTATCATACATGATTTATAGACTCTCTTCAAAAACAATGATAAAGACCACTGTCCATAAAAAGGTCTCAACAGATTCTTTTGTTGTACTCTGAAAAAAAAAAAATCTACTTATGATTTTTTTTTTTACCTTATGTTCTTTTCATGGTCTCGTCATAAGAATCAATATAAGAAACAAACAGAGTCTCAAAAGAACCCAAACAATAGGCACTCTCCTTCTCTCCACAGGAACGGATCAAGTCTAGCCTAACTTAACACAACTATTAAATCTTCTACATGCCTATTTTGTGGGAACAGAAAGACAAGTTTCACAAGTGACTGGTTTGGACCAATGTATGCAAACTGACATTCTTTTATGAACTGGAGGGTTAAAGACTGAGGGCTGAAGTGAAGTAAGGCTTTAATTTATACACACACACAATAAATTAATTCTCCAGGTCAAGGTAAACTGGTAGAAAATCACGAGGAATCTTGTTTCACTGCTACTGGTGATAGAATAGCAAGACTTTGTAAGATACTTGGTCACTTTTAGGAGCCTTAATCTACCATATTTATCAGAACCAATTCTGATTTTAAACCACTGATTTCTGAAGGGGGACAATAAAGCAAAACATCAAGATGAAAAATATCCCTTGCTCCCCTCTTGCTAAAGGTAATAAAACACACAGAATCTGCATCATCTGGATTCTTCCCCTTCTTAGAGCCACTGCTTTAAAAGCCTACTTCCAATCTTTCCAATTTTTTTGTTTTCCGTAAGAAAGCCAGAGCAATTCTAGCTCTATTTCAAATACTAATGTATGTACTGAACAACCATTCTGTTTTGCTGCAGAGGAGCAGATGCAATTTTTAAACATGGGTTACTAAAGTTCAACCAAATTCTTCATGGAATTATTTTTAGAAATTAAATTACATACTGCATAACCATTCCCATGGAACCCAATCTGAAACATAATGCCTATGTTTCTATGTTTTTCCACTGCTGTATCTCTGGCAATACTTTCATTGAGAGGAAAAATACAGTAAAAAGCCAACAAAACAAACAAAAAACCCAACAAAACAACTACTGCCTGTTCAGACAAGTGTTGCATAGACAAACCCTTACAGGAAACCAAAACTTTTCTTGCTTTCATATTTGCAGTTTTACTTATTCTGTACACAAGTATCTTACGAAGCTCAAATGTAGTTTAATTGTGACATTGTTTCATAACTTCTTTGTCCTATCTAACTGGAGTGAAAACTTAAAACAGCTAATTACTGCACTCCAAGATAAAGCTTATAAATAAGGAGCTCTAAATGTATTCTCTAATGATAGAAATTCAGAATAGTCAAGTAGTATCTTAAAACAAATTTATGGTTACAAGTGGCTTTGAACAACAGTTTCACAACAAAATTTGACTTACGGGGCTTGCGTGCGGGTTGTATATTCTTTGAATTCACTGTCATGTATGGTAAAGTATGGCCTGAAATCACTGCAGTACTTCAATGGTGAAATACAACTGCAGGGTAGAAAGAGGATAAGCTTGTTATATGTATACAGTGCAAAATTTCATGAAAGAAACAAGAAAACCTAAAATTAGTAATGCTTTCTTGTATTCAGATCAAATGAAGTTGCATTCAGCTGCAATCTACAATGACTCACTTGGTCATTAGTTAGGAAACTCCACGACATTTACCTAACAAGTGCTAACACAGTTTCTGAAGATTCGGATGGTGATGGTGCCATCACAACAAGTGGTTCTCCTAGCAGGACTAGTTCCCAAAGCATCTGGATGTGAAAGAACACCGGACAGAAACACCTAAAAACAGACAGAGGTATTTTAATACACTTAATGTAATGAGAAGAAATATGTATTTGATTAAGAACTCGATAAAATGGAAGTTTCCAGTAGTATTTAATAGTCATTTGAAAAATTATTTGAAAAGTCAGTCTTGTAAAATGGAACACTTAATAAACTTGCTTATTTATTGCAGTTTCAGCCTGCATGTTGCCTGTACTGTTTTTTAGCCAGCTTTACAGAAGAAGAATATTAAAAAAAGATACTGATAAATGTTAGCTTGCGCGCTGTGAGATATATATAATGGAACCATCACAGATCTTTGACATGTGGGAATTCACAACTAGCAATATATCAGTCCAAATTCCTACCTGAAAAGATCTACTTCATGAACAGTTGGTAAAGCCATGGAGATCTGAGCATCTACCTGAAAGACATCACAATGCTTGGTTTTTAGTCATGAGTACACCTAGGTATTAAACAAAATAGTTTCCCTGAAATGATTACAGACAGTAGATGGTATATGCCCTATTCACCACTATTGTACTACTGCAATTTGTACTGCATTATTTCCACAAGTAACTATTTTTGTGTGCTAAAAGCAAGATTTCCCCCAACACACACCCCTTACAGGCATGCGACTTCCAGTCCGGAGAAGGTATAAAATACTGAAGCTGTTTTAAACAACAGTAACACAGCACATGAAGGCACAGACAGATTTGTTTTGTATCCATCTTCTATAGCTAAAGATTTTTAATTCAGTTTTCATCCTCAAAAAAACTAGTTTAGTATCGTTTCACCCATTAAAAGGATGTTAAAGCTCAGTAATTTTGTCAGCCAACTATCCTCTTCCAGGAGCTGGACATCAGTCTTCTAAAGTACTTGGGGTAACTAGCTTAGAATACCTTTTCTATGAAGAATCCAACTTTAGAATCCCTCCATTCAAAGTTTCAAAGACCATGGATTTCATTGTTACCAAATTATATGAGGATTTGCTACCAATCTTTTATGAACAAGTTTAAAGTAAAAGAATGAACGCAGGTATTTAGCTTTGTCTTGAGGTTATATACAAGAGAAGTATTTAATCTCTACCTGTTGCATATTCTGCACTATTGGCGTTGTTCCAGGCTTGTCACGGTATGTTGGAATCCGCAACTTTGAAAGAAAAAGAAAGATTTTTTTCCTTGTGTTGAATTCAGCAGAGAATTAAAATGCTGACTTACAGACAAGATGTAACATTTGAAGAGGATATACTACAGTATGATGCTTAATTTACTCTACAGAACATCCATGTAACAATGTATACATAGTTGAAGACTACAGATCATTGCTACAGGAATCAATATGCAATACTATGTAGTACTACATTGCAAATTGAATATTAGAATATGAAAATTATACTTCAGTTAAAAAAGACTATTGATAGCATTAGTCACAATTATTACAATAATTTCAATAAAAATATGTTTAAATGTTGGAGAGAACAATCTGAAAGTTATGGGGTTTTAAGGTGGTACAGAATTACTTTGAGAAAAAATCCTCTCCTAAAACATCACACATCCTGGTGGGTATAAGGCAGAACCCAATAGATTGAATAACATAAATATATTTTTCTGACCTCACAGTCTGCATCTAAGTCTCGAGGACTACAAATTTAGTCATATTGGAAGCTGGGTGCACAAATGGATGTAACTTATACACAACAATTAAAAATGACTGCCCAAGCAGCGTAAAAAAACAGGGACAATATCACTGAAGATGGTAATTATGGCTTTACTCAGTTTAGGAACGCAATTTCAACTCTCATGGATAAGAGTTACTTATGAGATAAACGCAGGCAATACCCCAACAAGACATATCTGCCACTCATCATTATCATCCAGAACACTGCTTTATTAAATTTGTGCTTCTCCTTCCTTTCCCTGCTGAGGTACACCCATCCAGCCATAAACTTGAGAGTATCTGCTAAGAATGTACTTCCAACTGTAACCTCTGGATCCATCAAATCCATTTAATTGCATTTCATATGAAGATGCTATGGCTCCCAGAGGCCCAGTTCTCAGCCACCATTTAACCTCTGCAGTTCCTCCCCATGCACTGGATACAACTTCTTTAATAGCTTTCACTGAAAATTATTAACAGACCAAAAAATTAATTTCTGGTGTGTGGTCCAAAAAAGATTTTTACTTGTCAAACTTCAGACACAAGAATGATTTTCATCAATGTATTTAATTTGCTTGACTGGAACTTCATTCTCAGCATTTTGAAGCATTACTTAATGTTTGGTTTTACAAATATAATTAGCATTGAAGTCTCTTAGAATGTATATTCCAGAAAGATAGACACTGCAATTAGTAGTTGTATCAAAACACTTCTTAATATCTACAAAAACTACATGTTAACCTATGCACTGTAAAGGATCCTCCCCAAAATCACAGAACTCAATCAAGATCTCCCAGACCTTCACTCTGAGTGCAGTATACAGCTATTCCTGTTCTGAAGTATGAGACACTGAAAACAAGGCAGAATACATTGAGTATCTATACAGTAAATGGAGGGGAAAACAACTTCAGAGAAAAACAAGTGCAGAAGTATTTACCTTCATTATAATACCCATAATAGGCAAATGCAGTATTTTCCCTGGAATTGGTGGTGGCCAGCGATCAACATCACTACAAACTTGAAGAAGAAAAACAGTATCATTTCTAATTAGTTTATATATGCTATAACCCATGATATCGTAGTCACCTTTGTGCACACTGCAATTTTAAATTAGTGCTGATAGCCCACAACAGTTCTATGTATCTCTTGATCACTCTAAAGACGTTTTACAGCCTTTTTGACATTCTTAATGTATTGTTTCATTAGAACTAGAAAGTTTTTCATTTCAAGAAAACAGTATCCTCTTGTCTTCTGTTTTTTGTAGCAACTAGATTTGCAATTAGTTAAAGAAATGTTATGTGAGAAACCATGAAAGTACATATTAAGAAACTTGGAAGAGAACACACGCATTTATGTACATTAGCTACTGTAGAACAGATAAACACAAGCAGTCAAGGAAAAAGCTAGCTTTCTAGACAAGCTAGAAAGTTTTTCAGCATTTTGTTGTAAACAATTACGAATATCATTACTAATTCTAGTAGTTCTGCAGAGCTTATTTTGTTTATAATACAACCTGTCAAAAAACCCAATCTATCTACAGTTGATTAAAAAAAATACAATTCCTTCATCAAGAAAGGTTTCCACAAATTGTTGCTCAGTGAAAGCACAAAAGGCACAGATGTTGTATAGGGCAGACACGTATGAAAAACACAGCACTTCTCGGCAAAGAGCAAATAACTTTCCCATTTGGCCCTCTCTGGCTCTTAAAGTTCTACACTAAGGCTGAGGCACCTGCTATCAGGGCTGCTCTGTTGCTGCTTTTTTTTTTTTTTCCTTATGACCGAAGGGAGGAAATCACACAAAAAACATTCACACAAGACAACAACAAAAATTGCCAGAATGCCCAAGAGGACTCAATTTGTGAAAAGTGCAAACTAAGGAGTGCCATCAGCTACTCTTATGTTGAACAGCTGGTCCTGAAACATATAACAAAACCCCAGGGTTTTTTTTTTTTTTTGGGGGGGGGGGGGGGCGCTTCAACTCTCCCATGGAGAATCCAAAATTAGCTTAGCTTTGTTCGATAATCTAGAAATCAAGCCAGTTTGCTAAACTTTCAATCCTCTACCCTGCAAGAAGACAGAAACACAAACTAGAATGTGATAGCATTGTTTGTTATTTCTCCAAAAGTAGTATGTGATAATATAGGAGCTCTTCCAAAACAACATAATAGTTCCACTACCTGCTTCCAGGAAAGCTTCACTTTTTTCAAAATATTCTGGTGCTATTTGCTTAAGCATGGTGCGAAAGAGATGGACATAAGGTAGTTTGCTGATGAGGACCAGCGACTGGAATAAAGAGTAACAAAACAAAAATATAATTTTAAGTTAACCCTTCCCCTCAGTTCTATTGCAGTTCTACTTGTTATCCTCAGAGAACATCAGGTGTAATCTTTCTCACACATGCAAGCCAACCACACATTTCACTACAGGCAACTGCAAACAACTCCCAAGAGCTCCCAACTTTTTGCATAGCTGATGTAAAATTAGACCAATTTATTATATATCAACAATTAATTTAGTTACAAGAGCAAGATACTCCTTCCTGCTCCTCTGAGGTCACTGAAAAATAATTCATTTCCAAATTAATATATTCCTAAAAGAATTGAAATTACCTTCTGGAAATAGCCTCTTTTTAATGATTTGTCTCGAACTTGTCTGAAATGTACATAGCCATAGTAATATGCTGGATCTTTCTGCAAAGAAGGAAATAATTCAATACAATAACCTGATACTGTCCTTCTTTTTGAAGCATTCAATACGCATTTAAAAAGCTTATTTCCCTGCAAGTTCCAAAGTTGATTAGATACAATAAATTAGGATGATTACTCTGTTTATTGGCATTATTTTTTTTAGTAAGTACTGCAAAGAGAAAACACCAGTGTGTGGAAATAGCTGTGCTTTCTGGCTTTACTATTTTTATATCTACATTCTCCTGACACACCATGAAAGCAAAAATAGAATTAATTTCCTGAGAAATAAATCAACACTCATAATTTTGCAAAGTAGCACTAAAAAGATTTTAGCAGTTAAAAACCTTAAAGCCCTGACTTGAAAAGATGAAAACTAGTTGATTTCAATGTCTTAGTTTTATAAAAGATTCTTGGAGTATTAAGGAAGCATGATCTCAGATTTCAAACATCCTTCCTACAAGCAGGAATTCAAGTATTTGCCACATAAACAGATCACAGAATCATAGAATGTTTTGGGTTGGAAGGGACCCCTAGAGGTCATCTAGTCCAACCCCCCTGCAGTGAGCAGGGACACTGCTAACTAGATCAGGTTGCTCAGAGCCCCATCCAACCTGGCCTTGAATGTTTCCAGGGATGGGGCCTCCACCACATCTCTGGGCAACCCGTTCCAGTGTTTTACTACCCTCACTGTAAAGAATTTCTTCCTTATATCCAGTCTAAACCTACCCTGCTTCAGTTTAAAACCATTACCCCTTGTCCTATCACAGCTGGCCCTACCAAAAAGATTTTCCCCATCTTTCCTATAGGCCCCCTTTAAGTTCTGAAAGGCTGCAATCGAAATTAAGTTTGATAATCAGGCACCCACTAGCATAATTAAAGGCCTCAATATTCCGTAAGGACATGCTGAGAACAACTTTTTGGCTGCTACCTCTTTTGGATAACTGTTCTAAAAAAAAAAAAAAGGGGGTGCAAACAGAGAGACACATGTTAACTTTTGTTTTTCTAAGTTATAAAGCACTTCAGATTTCCAATAAGTTAATGTTTTTTCGAGTTTGATCTACAGGTTTCTAGTCAGTAAAAAAATAGTTATGCTCTTCGATGTAATTCCTTGCAGTCCAAAACCCATAGTAAAAAAAACTTAAAGAATAGTTAACAGAACTAAGTATTAGTTAATTTTTATTATAAAGATACACTACAAAAAACATTAGAACATTTGCTGAGCTTTGTCTTTCAGGACATCCAGTTCAGAGATTTTGTTTTTCAAGCATTGAATTTAAGCGTGAAGACCCATAAATTAATATTACCCAGAAGAAATTAACTTCATTTTTTCTTATTTCCAACCTTTAAGTAAACTGGTAGATCTCTATCCAATTGGTCCAGAAAACAACGCAATGAGACTTTCCTTCCAGGAGATCGTCGAAATCTAAAACAAAACTGTGTGTCCCCAAGACAACCTACACAGGAGGAAGATATAAACAACAAGTAGACAGTATTCTGAGTTTGACCCTTGTTTAACATATGGACTTGTCTACAGCCAAAGAGGTAAAATAGTTCTGGTTCACTTATCTTGCACTGCTATTTTGCCCTGATATTGCAATCATTTATATATTTATATTAAGTGGACAATTTGGCATCTTTGGCAACAATAAATAGCCTACCTTCAAGAAGAAAAAAAAAGTCACTCTGCCTCACACTGAGTTTATTAGATTGTCACGTCCTTACACAGCTCTACTAATGGCTGTCCTTCTACAATTATTACACATTTTATTGGTCTGCCTGTATAGTTCTGATGATCTTAACTACATGTCATTTTTCTGTTGAATGACTGCACTTATCCTTTTTTTGACACTGAACAGATCATACGTAAGTCACACCGTTGGAGTGTATTATGCTGATCTCTTATAACTCCATGTGCCGGCCTAGGACTCAGTATTTTTGAAAGCTGCAAAACCAACTGCAGAAAACTGAGTGAAACTGAGTATTACCTCCCAGTAATACTCCCAAGGAGTGAAGTTTCCCTTTATTTTGATGAAAATTAATTTCTGAAGGAAAAAATGTAACTAAGTATATTGAGTATTTGCAGTCAAAAAATAAGTTTGGGTTAAGTTTGTATCAGGTATCAAAGAAACTTCTTCCAGGTGGAACTTGTGAGAACTGAAGTATCAGAACTTGTATCACTGATGCTGTCATGGCTATGTCCTTGCCATTACAAATGTTGTCTGCTGTTAAAGAGAAGCTCCAAAAACCCTTTAGTTCAAGTAGAAGCTATAAAAGCTGAACAGAATGTGCTGTTCAGGGGAACAGTGATAAGGGGGACTGTTAGAATTCTTAAGAACGTGCAGGTACATTGCACGTTCTAGCAAACCTGTAAAAAAAAAAAAAAAAGTCCCTTTGGAATACAGTGTTATTAACATGAACACAAAAACCTCCCGAGCATTGTCAACCTGTGGTAAGCAGACTATCTTAACCACAACAAAGTAAATGTTCATCTAAGTGCCTAGAAAAACCAATCTACTATTAAACTTACAGCTCCTATCGCAGCACTAAGTTTCCAGCTGGCAAAGGACACTTGCTTCTCCATATTGAATCTAACTTCTTCATTAGTGCTCTGCTCTTACAGCTTTTGGACGTAATTTGCAAAAACCTCAGGAAAAAAAATTATGAAGTCACTACCGATCACCTGGACCCTTCTCAACTGTCCTGTCTTACATCAGCCAATGCTGACTGACTAAGCAGTAAGGCAGAGCTCCATCCCCCAGATAACTATTCTTCGGACTTAAAAGCTCAATTTCATCTTCTTTCTCTTTCAGCCACACACATGCTGCTGCAGCAACCACAGGGCGCCCAAACCGTCAGTCAAATCCGCTGGCTGTGCAGCTGGCAGTGTGGATTAATACCAGCACGTTCAGGCCTGAGTCTTAGAACCCCTTGAAGTTGCAGCAGGAAACCCACAATGCACTAAGACAAAACCAAAAGTAGCAAACCACTTTATGATGGGATAACCATCCAATTCAAACAGGTAACTAAAGCAAGTGCTTAGCAATACCGATCCAATCATGACAAGAAAAAACACAGCACATGCCACTAACAAAGCATTAAATATTTGCTCCAAGTTTTCATGGCTAGTTCCCTTCATCCAAAGCAAAAAAAAACCCCAAAAGCTATTATAAAAAGCTATACACAGAAGACCTAAAAGTAAATTACCCTTAATCATTAATATGTTGAAATATCATTCAGAATATGATGGCTTCTCATGTAACAAGATATTCCAGTACGTCAAATTTGAAAAGATTGGTAAACGTCTATTCTTTCTTCAACTATCCATGCAGTAAAGGCAAAAGCATTACTTTAGAGATAACTGTACTAGGAAACCTAGTTTAAAAACACAAAAGGTGTCATGATCTAGTACCTGATAAAATCAATTTCCCCCCCTAAATTCATAGCCACTACAAGTCCTAGAATGATATCTACTGTAAAAGAAAAAAAAAATTGAATTAATCTTTTGAGCCATGAAAACCTAGAAAAGACTGACGTCAAATTTAGCTGCAAGCTAGTAACTTCCTTCACTGCTATATTACACAAAGCTTTTTAAATTACAGCCTACAGTGAAAAAATAAATCGTAACAGACAGCATACATTCACAGCTAATTTCTAGAATGCAGGTTTAACATAGGTAATCCCTCTGCATCATTTGAAACTTCAGCCTACCAAGAACGATCAGAATCTTAATAGGGACATTATAAAAAGCGAAAAGATGGGGATTTTTTCC